CGCCCGGGGGCGTGCGCAGCTCCTCCTCCTCCTCCTCCTCCTCCTCCTCCTCCTCCTCCTCCTCCTGATCTCCTCCTCCTCCTCCTGATCTCCTCCTCCTGATCTCCTCCTCCTCCTCCTCCTCCTCCTCCTCCTCCTCCTCCTCCTCCTCCTCCTGGCAGAGGCGCCTGCTCGGACGGCACTTGAGGCCCAGGTCGGCTGCGCGTGAGGGTGACCTCTTCGGTGCGGGACCGCGGGGGGGTCCCCCCAGCACTGGCCCGCGCGCTTGGATCTGGGCCCCCCCGGGGCCCCCGACGGCCGCGCACCAGGGCACGTTCTTCTGCTCGTCGGTGAGCTCGAGGTCCAGGTTTCGGAGCTCCAGGAGGCAGGGGTTCTCCTCCTCCTCCTCCTCCTCCTCCTCCTCCTCCTCCTCCTCCTCCTCCTCGTGGTCCCCTGGCAAGCCCTGTCGCTGCCCTGGGTCTCTCTTGAATGTGGGCGCTGGACGGGGTGCGCGCTCAGACGGAAGAAGGCTTCGGGCTGCGCGCAGACGGCCTCCCAGGTGGGTCCTGGCTGGCCTCAGCAGGCCTCCCTCCACTGGCCCCCCGAGCAGCTCGGGGCGGTCTCCAAGCCTCGGCCCTGGGGCGCCTCCCAGAAGTGCCGCCGGAGGCGGCGCCAGGGCGCCGGGACCGCCCCGGACTGCTCGGGGGGGGCCTGTGGAGGCCAGCTGGGACTGCTCGGGGGGCCTGCTGAGGCTACCTGGGGGCCGTCTGTGCGCAGTCCGAAGTGCTTACCATGCTCAGACGCGTCTCCGCCATGCTCAGCGGGCGGGGTACCCATCGGTCGCCGGAAATACGTAGTTTTTGGACTCCCGGATCCCAGTCTCATGCGGGCGCCATCCTCAAGCGGCTTTCCCTCTTCCCTCCTCTTCACGGGGCGGGCGGATACCCCAGCCCTTCTTCCGACGGATGGGTTCGTGGCAAGGAGCAATTGCGTAAATCTGAACCTTCGAATGTCCTCTCGTGGCTTTGTTGGAGCTGTACGCTGCCCCCCCCCCCCCCTGGCGGCGCCTCCGACGCCCCCTCCCTGGCCTGGCGCGCCAGGCTCGCCCGTGCGCTCCGCGTGCCCCCGCGCGGCCCATCTGGGGGCGCCGGCGGATCGGGCTCTCTCTCGTCTGAGTGCATCTCGCGGGCATGTAATCTGCAGCGGAAGGCCTCTGTCGCGGCCAGTGGTCCAGTATCCCTCCCCTGATCCCGCCCTCTCTTCCGCCCTCCTCTCCCTCCTCTTCCTCCTGTTCTTCTTCCTCTTCTTCCTCCTCCTCCTCCTCCTTCTGCCCTTCCTCCTCTTACCCCCTGTCCCCTTCCTGCACCCACGCCGCCTGCTGCTCCTGCTCTTGCTCCTGCCCCTTCCTCCTCCCTCCTCCCTCCTCCCTCCCGGACCCCTCAGGAGTCCAGGAGAGAGGGTGGAAGCAGTGCTCCTCCCTCCCTCCCTCACCCTGCTTCCTCGCTCCTCCGCCCTGCCCTCCTGCTCCGTCCCTCCTCCCTGCCCCTTCTCCCTGCTCACTCCTCCCTCCTCCCTCCTCCCCACCCGCCTCTTTCTCCTCCTCCCCATCTCTACTTCCCCCCCTATCCCTCTTTATCCCCATCATCCTTGGACTGGCGGGTGCGAACGGGGTCTCTCCGGTTTTCGTCGGCCCGCAGTCTAAAGGACGCCGTCGCGGGTCTCATCGCCCGCCTCCACAGGACCGCAGTGGCGGACGCGGTAGCCGCGAATGTACGTGCACGACGGCGATACGCAGGCCCGTGGTCGAATCCAGAATGTGGTACATGACTCATGGGCCATGGCAGGCAGGCAGCGCGTGTGATGCCTCGTCTTCTCTGGCTCCCTCCCTTCGGAAGTTGCCCAGCAGACAACCAACCACATAAAGCTCTTCAGAGGCATCCTGGCTTTCCCTGCACAGCCATGTTTCCTGCACAGCCGTGTTCCCGTCCGCCGTATATCCTAAGACTGCGAGTGGTTGCTCAATGCGGCAGCCTCGTTTTTTACCAGTCTTCGGCGAGCTGCATGTGGAGTTTGCCGAGAGCCTGCGCACACAGAAGCCAAAGGCAATTGAGTTGGTGTTCGTGGATAGTTCTCAAGCGTTCTTGCAAAATGGGTGGCCGCGGATGATTCTGACGCCAGGACATTTGCAAGCCCGCCTTGCTCTCTGACTGCGTATGCTTCGATTTGGTGCAACCCGGGTGATGGGTTCAGAAGTCCGAGTGCGAAACCGTACGCCGATCCTGACCAGTCCGCCCCTGACCAGCCTGGCGGTCCTGGGCCCAGGAACGGTGCACATGCCTTCCCTGCGCCCAGCATGTGCCTGGCCAGCACGGGTGCAGGTGCGTGGCAGTTGGTGTCTTGCTGCCATCTCTGCACTTCCCCCCGTTCCTCCCCTGACCCAAACCTACGACCTGCCTTCTTCACGACGCGGTGCCGGTGTTCGGGCCCCAGAGGGGGTCGTGCCTCGCTCGCGAAGGGCCTGGAGGTCCGCATTTCCAGCGCCCCCCTCCCCGCGCCGTCCCCCTCCCGTCGCCGCTCGCCTCCCCGCCGACCGCCGAAAGCGCGGGGGTTGCTGAACCGAAGGGGCCCCCAGCTCGTCGCTCCATGTTGGCGCCGCTGAGGCGCCCCTGGGCCTCGTGATGGGGTGCCCTGGAGGCCCCGTGGGACTCCCGGGGGGCACTTTTGGCCAGGGGCACTTGTAGCAACCCCCGAGAGGGGGGGATTGGCTCAGGAGGGAGGAGGAGGAGGAGGAGGAGGAGGAGGAGGAGGAGGAGGAGGAGGAGGAGGAGGAGGAGGAGGAGGAGGAGGAGGAGGAGGAGGAGGAGGAGGAGGAGGAGGAGGAGGAGGAGGAGGAGGAGGAGGAGGAGGAGGAGGAGGAGGGAGAGGAGGAGGAGGAGGAGGAGGAGGAGGAGGAGGAGGAGGAGGAGGAGGAGGAGGAGGAGGAGGAGAGGAGGAGGAGGAGGAGGAGGAGGAGGAGGAGGAGGGAGGAGGAGGAGGAGGACGGCGGCGGCGGTGGCGGCGGCGGCGGCGGCGGGCGGCGGCGGCGGCGGCGGCGGCGGCGGCGGCAGGAGGAGGAGGAGGAGGAGGGAGGAGGAGGAGGAGCAGGAGGAGGAGGAGGAGGAAGAATAAGAAGAATAATAAGAAGAAGACGAATAAGAAGAATAATAAGAAGAATAAGAAGAAGAAACAGAAGAAGAAGAAGACGAATAAGAATAATAATAATAATAATAATAATAATAATAAGAATACTAAGAAGAATAATAAGAAGAATAATACTAAGAATAATAAGAAGAATAAGACTACGAATACGACTAATAAGAAGAATACTAAGAATAATAATAAGAATAATAGGAATAATAATAATACGAATAAGAATAAGAAAAATACGAATAATAATAATAATAAGAATACGAAGAAGAAGACGAAGAAGAAGAAGAAGAAGAAGAAGAAGAATAATAAAAAGAAGAATAAGAAGAAGAAGGAGGAGGAGGAGAGGAGGAGGAGGAGGCGGAGGAGGAGGAGGAGGAGGAGGAGGAGGAGGCGGAGGAGGCGGAGGAGGAGGAGGAGGAGGAGGAGGAGGGCCGACGTCGGCTCCCCCCGCACCGCCCAGTTCGGGCTTCGTCCGTCGGTCAGGGCCCCGCCGCGAGGAGGCGTGTGGATGGTCGTGAGACCAGGGGGCCGCACGCAGACACCGCGCGCAGTCCTGCACGGTGAGGGCGCCGCCGCTCCCTCGCGAGGAGGAAGAGGCACCCATGCTCAAGCAGTGGCGAAGCGTCCCGGCTCGCCTATAGACCCCCCGAAGAATGTTCTAATAACTTTTTGTGGTTTGCACGACATGTTCTCAGAGCATTTCTGGCTGAGTCTGTCTTGTTTTGGCACATCGGGTTTGTGTTCTAAAACTTTGTTCTTGGAGCATGTCTGGGTTCGAAGGACATATCGTGCTGGTAGGCCTATAGGAATGCCGAATGCCGGGATGGTCGGTCCCGGCTCAACATATTGCTATCGTTCGCTCGTATTTTCACCTCTTTGGGCCTCCTGGGAGACCCTTGTCGCCACCGCTGGAGCCGCCTCGAAATCCTGGTCAGCACACCGCTATCCTTTGTTCGTTTTCGCCTTTTCGGGCCTCCTCGGATGCCCTCGTCGCCACAGCTAGGGTCGCCTCGAGATCCTGCTCAGAATGCACCCCGGGAGAGGTCCGGGGAGTAGCGGTATCGGTACCTTTTGGTTTCCTCACTACCCCTTCCTCATCCGCGGCCTTGCTCTTCTGCCTACCGCCCGCCTGTGTACAATTCGCCTTGCAGCGTCCCCTCTTAGCATCTGGCCGCGCTGTGCGTCCGCCAGCGCTGTGACTTCAACGTCCCCCCGTCGCCCGCTGGCCATCTCTCTGGTCCGCGCCCCCTGCCCGCTTTGGCCTCTGGCCTGCAGTCCCGGGGTCCGCCGTCGCCCGCTGGCTGCTTCCTTCGTCTTCCCTCTTCTGGTCGAGGCATGTGCGCGGTCGCGCTTCCGTCCCTTCTGGGCCAGTCCCCTCCCTTCGGGGCAACGTTAGGGGGGGGATAGGCTCAGGAGGGGAGGTATCGATTATCGACCCCCGATCGCCCATTCATCACCGACAGGCCCACCCCGCCGAGGAGCGTGGGGCTTCGCTACTGGCGGCCTATCGCCGATCCGTCGGCGATGCATCGCCGATTCCAGCTCGATGTTGCACCCCTGAGCGGGTCTCTCACGATCATCCCCTCCTCAGGTCGGGCAGACCTGGGATGAGGACAAGTCGCCACTGAGCGTGCCAGAGCGCTCTCGGAGCGTTCCGCAACGCTCTGGAACGGCCGCGGCGCCCGGTACGTCTTCCAGACCCACGGGCTCTCAGAGATCCCCGCTCTGTCCTCGTCCAAACTTACTTTCGTCCTGCCCTCGTCGCTATCGTTCCCCCTCATCCCCTCTCGGCTCCCTTTGTCACCTGCGGCGTCCGCAGCTCGTTTTGAGGGATGCGCACCAGGCCACAACGAGCAATCTTCGGCACGGCAGCCGGCTCTCTCCATGGTGCGCTTGCCAGCAGCGGCTGCGCTGGCCGGCTCGTGCGGCCAGGTCCGCCGTTCTATGACGAGGACGATGATGATTTTGATTTCAGGGTGGCCACCGCACGCACAGAAGAACATGTTTCCCTGATTACGCTTCGACTCAGGCTCTTCCTCACCCCATGGCTCAGCGTCGACTGTAACACTGTCGAGCTTGGGATGGCGGCCTGCAGCAGTGCAATTTCAGAACTGGAATGACGACGAAGACGACGACGACGACGTGTCCGACCCCCCACTGGGGAGAGGCAGTTCGACCCCCCCAAGCGCCAGCAAATGACGACGACGAGGTCGAGGACGACGACGAGGACGACGTACGACAACGACAACGACGACGACGGCGGCGGCGACGACGACGATGATGACGAGGAGGATGAGGAGGAGGAGGATGAGGATAAGGGTGATGATGATGATGATGAGGCTGATGATGATGATGATGATGATGATGATGATGCTGATGCTGATGCTGATGCTGATGCTGATGCTGATGATGGTGATGGTGATGGTGATGATGATGATGCTGCTGATGCTGATGATGACGATGATGATGATGCTGATGATGGAGAAGATGCTGATGATGATGCTGCTGATGATGATGAGTATGATGATGATGATGATGATGATGATACTGATGATGCTGATGACGATGATGATGCTGCTGCTGATGCTGATGCTGATGCTGATGATGCTGATGATGATGCTGATGATGACGATGATGAGGCTGATGATGATGATGATGATGATGATGATGATGATGCTGATGCTGATGCTGATGCTGATGCTGATGCTGATGATGATGATGATGATGATGCTGATGCTGATACTGATGCTGATGATGACGACGATGAGGACAACGATGCCGGTACCGATACTGACGACGATGAAGCTGATGCTGATGCTGATGCTGATGATGATGCTGATGCTGTTTCGGAATACTAAGCAGCAGCTGATGATGATGACGCTGATGATGACGATGCTGATGCAGCAGCTGATGATGATGATGATGATGCTGATGATGATGATGATGCTGCTGCTGCTGATGATGATGATGATGATGATTATGATGATGATGATACTGATGCTGATGCTGATGCTGATGCTGATGATGCTGATGCTGCTGCTGATACTGCTGATGCTGCTGATGATGATGATGATGCTGATGTTGATCACGTTCTTGGTGATGCTGATGCTGATGCTGATGTTAAGGGTGAGGCTGAGGATACAGATGAGGAGGGATGGTTGGATGGGAATGATATGCAGGATGGGAGGAGCATCGGCTTCGCATTCCATGGCGCTGGGAAGGGGCAGGTCTCAGCTTCTTGCTGGTCGTCAGCGTGGTGCCTGAAAGCGCTTCAAGCTCATCACGCTCAGAGGCACGATGGCGCCAAGCTTACCATGCAGCGTGCCAGATGGCACAATTGCGGGAGACGAGCTCGTGGCGCACGGTTCACACATCGGGGGGGGGTCAGAGCCGTTACCTTTCGCGCTTGGATAGGGACACGCGCACATCGCTCAAGGCAGGACAGCTTGTGTTTGCGCACCGACGCCCTCGCTGCGTCAGGCGTGCGCTCACTTGCGTGCTCGAAGAAGCTGATCACGACGCGGGCGCGCACTCGAGGAGCGGTATGGGGACGGGCCCTCGCGGCTGGGTGTTCATCGGCGCGCCCATCAGGTTGCCTTTTGTGTCCAATTGCTGGGACGTCACCCCTTTTCTGCTTGACCAGAGGCTTATTCGGCACGGCCTCGTACAGTTCTCAGGAAGCCCCGTCGGGCCTGTGCGTTCGCACGCAATCGAAGTGTGTGTATGTGTGTGTGTGTGTGCTCAAAGCGGCCAGATGGCTCCCCTCTACAGGAGGTTCACTGGAGGTCATTGTAAGGAGACTGCTGGAAGCTCCCTGGAGGCCCGTGCAAGCGCACTCGAAGCCTCCTGGAGTCCACGGGGTGCTCTTGGAATTACTTGAAGCCCCTGGAAGCCCCCAGAAGTCATTGTAAACACCTTGGGGAAGCGTGGTCAGGCTTCAACTCCTCGGGGTTGAAGCAAGCCTTGGCCCTGGTACATCCGTGGTCGAGCTCTGGCCTCAATTCAGCTCGGTCCCGCTCTGCTATTTGGCAGCAGCTGGCTTTAGCGATCGCGCCCACGAAGCCGTCCCAGGAACTGTCTCCTGACCGTGCAGGCCCTGGCTCGCAGCATCTGAGAGAGCGCCTTCGGTGTATGCTGGGAGGAAGTGGAGGGAAGGGAGGCGTGAACCCTCCCCCTCCTCGAAAGGGCTTGGATGGGGGGGGGTCGGACCACCCCTCCCTTCCCCTCCCCCCTGGAACGTGAAAGTCGAGGGGGTCGGACGGGTTTGACCCCATCGCCGCCCTGCGCCAGCAAACGACGACGACGATGACGACGAAGACGAGGACGAGCACGAGGACGCCGATGACGACGGCCTGTCCCGCCCGCCCGCCCGACCGACTCACCGACGACGACGACGACGACGACGACGACGACGACGACGACGACGACGACGTGTCCGACCCCCCCACTGGGGGAGGGAGTTCGACCCCCCCATCGCTAGTCACTGACGACGACGAGGACGACGACAACGTGTCCCGACTGCCCGCCCGACCGACTCGCCCATGACGACGACGGCGACGGCGATGGCGATGGCGACAACCCTGTCGCCACGACTGATGACATCGTCGTGCGGCGGCGAGAGGGGGGGTTCTCGCCGGGGAAGCGGGTGTCCTGGTTCTGGAGAGTTTCATTTTTTTCTGATCTTCCCCCTTCATGTAGCCACTGTAGTTTTTCAATTGAAGTGCCCCTCCTGGGGCGTGCGCCCTGTCTTCTATCAGGAAAAATGTAGTGTCACCAAGCTGCCCTTCTGGCCCCCGACTTGCAACAACAACGGCTCCCGCCCGATATCTCTTCGCAATTTATTGAGAAAGCGCGCTCTCAATCCAACCAACCCAATCCATCAATTCATATGTTTCTGGAGGGAGCTCTGATACAGAGAAAACTCTGATAGAGAGGGGGAGAGAGAGTGAGAGAGAGAGGGCGATAAAGAGAGAGAGAGAGAGAGATAGACACATAGAGAGAGAGAGAGAGAGACAGAGAGAAAGAGAGAGATGATATCAAGGTGACTGGCTGGAGGTCAGTCAGGGTGGGCATTTGATCTCAATCCCCCCCAACCTCCTTATCGCCCGCAGGGCGGTCGTATAGGTATGAGTACACATTATCGTCTATCACTGTGTTGCAAATGCCGCCGTGCATGCTCAGGCGAAGTCGAGACACCCCGCGAAGCCGAGACACCCCACATTAAATAATCCTTTTGTAGAGAATTCCATCCCCAGTAATGAAGCGGTTGAAAGGAATTTCCACCAGGGAATTCTTTGCAGGCGTCCCCAGTGAAGAACCCTTGAGTAAGGGATCCAGAGCGGGTAATCCTCATTAAAGATTTTGGAGTAAGGGAGCCTGCGGAAGGACTCCGTAGGAATCGCCAGCAACCATGGTGCGGCATATTGCCCAACCTCGCTTCGCCCGCACGGACACGCGTCACCGACTGCAAAATCGGGAGGATGCCCCTAAGGCTTCGTTCTTCAAATCTACTGAAGAATAGCGCCCTTGCGTTGGAATTTCTGGCAATTTACTCAAGCGCCGCGCTCCCGACACCCAGGCACCCAGGAGCCGCGCTCACGCTTAGGACTTCCTCACAGATAACCTAGGAATCGGGATCTCGCTGCCCTTCGTGGCCCCGTTGTAGCCCTTCGTGGCCCCCTCGCTTTGTTTCGTGGCCCCGTTGCAGCCCTTCGTGGCCCCCTCGCTTTGTTTCGTGGCCCCGTTGCAGCCCTTCGTGGCCCCCTCGCTTTGTTTCGTGGCCCCGTTGCAGCCCTTCGTGGCCCCCTCGCTTTGTTTCGTGGCCCCGTTGCAGCCCTTCGTGGCCCCCTCGCTTTGTTTCGCGGCCCCGTCGCAGCCCTTCGTGGCCCCGATGTCGCCCTTCGTGGCCCCCTTGCTGCCCTTCGTGGCCCCGTTGCTCCCCTCAGTGGCCCCGTCCTTGCCCTCCGCGGCCCAGTATACGTATGCCCTTCGTGGCCCCCGCTCGTTCGCGCCCGTTGTGGCCCCATGTGCATGCCCTTCGTGGCCCCGATGTCGCCGTTTGTGGCCCCCTCTGTCCTACGTGGCCCAGTTGCTACCCTCAGTTGCCCCATCGTTGCCTTCTGTGGCCCCGCATTATTGCCTTCGTGGCCCCCGCTTGTTCGCGCTCTTCGTGGCCCCATACGCATTCCCTTCGTGTCCCCGCTGTCGCCCTTCGTGGCCTACTTCGTGTCCTTGAGGCCCTGCTGTCGTTCTTTTTCGCTCTCGCTTCGTCGTCGTCGTCGTCGCCGCCGCCGTCGTCGTCGTCGTCGTCGTCGTCGTCGTCGTCGTCGTCGTCGTCGTCGCCGTCGTCGTCGTCGTCGTCGTCGTCGTCGTCGTCGTCGTCGTCGCCGTCGTCGTCGTGGTCGGTCGTCTGTCCGTCCCTCTTGGGGTCGGGTCGACGGTCCGCGGCCGCCCCGCCGATCAGCGCTGCCGCTGGCCAGGCCGACGGTCCGCGGCCGCCCCGCCGCTTGCCGGGGCCTGGCCTGCAGGGAAGAAAGGTATACCCACCCAAAGGGGTTCGATCGAAGACGGAGAGAGCGGGTATCGAGGGTTTGGGAAATACGCGTTATGGGACACTCGAGCAGATATGGGCGAACAGTCTTAAAATTATTGTTGTTGTTGTTGTTGCTGTCGTTGTTGAGTATTCATTTCTAAAGAACAATCGTTGTTGATCTCCGGAAAAGGTTCCGCGCGCTCTCGCCTCGACGCCGGCTACATCTTCTCTGAAAGCGAGGCTCCCGCTCGAGCGTTGGCTTGACCCGAAATGTGCGCCCTTGGAGGCCCAGCTACGACAACAACGGCTCCCGATCGATTTCGCAATTTACCCCGAGACACCCTGGCCAGAGAGGCCCCCGAACTCAGGAACGGCGCTTTGGCTCGAGACTTTAGACTTCCTCGCAATTCAATCAAGTTGGCGGAGGCCCAGCCACGACGACAAGGGCTCCTGCTCGATACTTCCTCACGATTTACTCCGAGAGCCCCTGGCCAAGAAGGCCCCGAAACTCAGGAACGGCGCTCTCGCTCGAGATTTCTTCGCGATTCATGCAGGACCCACGCTTCAGCAACCCGCCTGCTCGACCTCGTCGCCTGGGCCCGCCTTCCCGACCTGCCCGCTATGGGTCTGCCTACCCGATCTGCCCATCTGGTTCTATCATTTGTTTTCTGCTTTTTGCCTCTCTTTTGCTAGTATCTCTCGTGCTCCATTCTTCTGCCTCCCCCTTCCACCCGTCTTATCTCCCTTTGTTTTAGGGGCTGCACTAAATACGCGTGGCAGGTTAGGAAGGTATACCCCCAAAGTGGGCACGATCGAAGACGTCGAGGGCGGGTACCGAGGGCTTGGGATATACGTATTCATTGGCATGTGAGCAGATAGGAGTGAACAGCCTTAAAATGATTGCTGTTGATGTTGTTGTTGTTCATGTTGTGGTTGTTATAGTCGTTGTTGTTGGTGTTGTTGTTGCCGTCGTCGTCATCGTCGCTGTTGTTGTTGTTGTTGTTGTTGTTGTTGCTGCTGTTGTTGAATGTTAATTACTACGCAGTTATGATTGTTGGACCCCCCAGGCGCTTTGGCGCTCTCGTCTCATCGCCGGCTACATCTTTATTGAAAATGAAGCTCACGCTCGAGCGGTTCGGGGGGGCGCCAAAATTGTTCCCCCAAACGACAACAACGCTTCCGCTCGAGATTTCCTCTTTGATTTACTCAGGGCCGGTGCTCTTGCTCGCCGCCGAAAGCCGCCGCCCCAACAAAACCAGCGCTACCGCTCGAGACGTCCTCCCGTCTTACCTTGGACTGGCGCGCGACTCTTTCTCTCATCGGCGCCGCCCCCAGCAACAACAACGCTCCCGCTCGAGAGTTCCTCCTTTTTTTACTCAAGTCGGTGCTCCTCCTCGCCGCCGAAAATCGCCGTCCCGACAAAACCAGCGCTCCCGCCCGAGACTTCCTCCCATTTTACGCTTGACTAGCGCCCTAGTCTCTTCAGCATTGGCGCCGCTCCAAGCAAGAACAACGCTCCCGCTCGAGGCTTCCTCCCTTCTTCCTCCGGACGTTGGTGTTCCTCGTCGCCGACAGCCCCCGACCCGACAAAACCACGGCTCCCGCTCAAGACTTCCTCCTTTCTTACTCAAGGCGGGGCTCCTCTTCGCCGCCGACAGTCGCCGTCCCAACAAAACCAGCACTCCCGCTCGAGACTTCGTTTTGTTTTACGCTGGACTAGCGCCCGAGTCTCTTCAGCATTGGCGCCGCTCCCAGCAACA